TTTAGACCGTCAATTTGATTGGCTATTATATTTATGGAAAACCTGTTCCACGGGTATTCGAATAAACAAGTTGACCGTTTTATCCATTTCTAGAGAAATGGGCGTATCATAAGTAGTAGTTACCCCATATCATACTGTTGGTTATGTGTAGATACCCGATGGGCGTGGTCATAATGACACGAGGGAGCGTAGCTCCCGAGTTGTCATTATGACTACGCCCATCGGGTATCTACACATAATCAACAGTGTGATATTGGGTAAATGACTTGTACCATAGTTTTCAAAAATCATTCATATGTAAGTCAGCTTAGGAATCGGTCGGACTGGTTCGCGTGATTGAAACATTAAGTGTTTGATTTCAAAGATGCATTTGGATTTTATATGATTTTACGCTCCTTCATTGAATATAGGGTAAGTGATTTGTATACAATAGTTTTCAAATTTTGCTACAAATTTTGCCCTATACTTGGCACTCAAGGACATTGAACAGTGAGGGATCTTCTTCCTGTCAACACCTTCTGCGACACGGGACCTCTGTTTATACTTTATAGGTCTCCACGTCCCAGAGTGGGATTCAACTCCTTACTTCGTGACTAGGGCAGGCGCTTTAACCACTGGGCCACGCAAGCGACATAAAAATTAAACATATCTAGGCCCGTTTAAAAAGTTTGATTTATATAACTGAAAAAATAACGAGTTTGTTTTCAATGATAAATTGATGTGATTTTTTTCTCTCGTAAATTTCAATCGTCAAAATTACATACTAGTAATTTGAATTTATTATGAACTTGGTTTAACTCAAATTTTTGTAAACCTGATACAAACTTTGCCGTGCACAGTGGTACGTTGATTGAAATGTTTGTTAGAGGTTATGTATATTTCAATTTAATGAAAATTAGATCTTTGATCAGCTAGATCCGCAATCGAAAAGGTTATTTAAGTACAGTAATGTACACTTGTTTTTATGTCAAGTATGTTCCGTGTTTCCTTTGTTGGTTATCAAAAGAACGATATATTGAAATCTACTAAGCTAACGTCACCCTGGTCATTACACTATTTTAAAAAAAATGTTTAAAAAATCAAGCGATTTCTGAAGTTTTTTTTTCTTCACTTCTAACAAGTTAAAGTATTAATGACCGTTTTTAACTGTTATTTATTACAAAATGTTGTATACAATTGAAAATTTTGTACTCCTTTTTACTCTCCTAAATTTGGTATAACAAGCCCGTATGATTGTTTCATTTAAAAACCGTGCATGATCGTTTTATAAATAGTTCTTTTGTCCCGACTCGATGGGCGGAGTTATAGAAAAGTGTGGGTTATGTACAGAAAACCCACACTTTTAACAAAAGAAATCACACCTAACTATGGTACAAGATGACAAAAAACGTTCTAAAGATAGCTCAAAACGTTCCATTCGAACGGAAAATTTTACCACTTCAATGCGCTTCATTGTACATTTTATTAAACTTCTTTTTCCCATTTAACAACAAATTAAAAACGACCGTAACATCTTTCATAGTTTTTTATCTTTGTATTTTGTTCATTTCTTTTATATTGCAGCCCATTAACATGATCATAGATTGACATGAACTACGTGTTCGAAGTACAATGTAAACATGTATTTGGCGTAAACGTTGCTATTCATTCAACGATTGGTCAGTTGCTCGTGGTGAGATCCCCTGTGCGAATTTATATTGTGACAATAGCCATATAAGGCAAACAAAGGTTTGTCAGTGTAGATGATAATGCACATCTTTTACCAGCGAATCGGTCACTAGTGAGCTCTAATTTTCGCCGAAAAGTATGATATATTGTTATTTAAACACCCGGGCCTCCTTCAGTCACCCTTTTTCTGTTGAAAATCATGAAAGTCTTTCAGAAAGGGCTGGAAAAATTTATTACAGGACATCTTTTCAAAAGAAACAGGCTATAGCAATAACATGTTTACTGCCGATTTTATTTATAAAACCGGTTCTACCCTATAACCTTTGAATAGATCAACCTAAACCACGTGTCTTGAATTTAAATCACAATAACATTAGTAGGGGTGTTTCAGTTTTCAGTAAGCCAATGTTATATGACATGCCTAAATAGAAAAGATTGAGAAGGAAACATTTATTTTCTCTATGGTGGATCACAATACAAAACCTGGACACTGCGTTATCGACGATTTGCTCGAAGGGCTATTTCAAACAGCATTTCTTTATTGCATATCAATATATTACCACCTACATTGGCTGCACTGCTAACTACCACAGTTTCCGTTCTTATTATCAGGCAATGGAATGAATGAATAAAGCAGATAGACTAAATCCCTTGGAGTGGCGTTGGGAACTGTCCAGTGGTGGAAAAAGAGGCAGTCAAAACTCATCTCTCCCCTGCTCCAGAAAAACTTTTACAGATAATCCACTGAAACTGTAAAGGAGATTGCACCTCTAGGATATGTACTTGTCACAAGCACGGAATCGACTGCACTGAAATGTGCGGGGTACTGTAGATTCTAAATTGTTCAGATCATGACCCCTGGGGGTAGGGCGAAGCCACAATAAGGAACCCAAGTTTCACATTTAGATATATAGGAAAATCTTTAAAAATCTTCTTCTCAAGAAACACTGGTTCAGAAAAGCTGAAACATATGTGAAAGCATCCTAGGGTAATGTAGATTTTAAACTGTTCAAACCATGACCCCCGAGGGTAGAGCGGACCAAAACAAGAGGCCCACGGGCCTTATAGGTCACCTGAGTATCATGTAACAACTTTCCAACAATTGAATTTTCATTTCACATGCTTAATACTATCATTTAGTAAAAAAAAATATTTCGGAAAAAAAATTTGGATCGTCCTGGAATCGAACCCGGGACCTCTCACATGTGAAGCGGGAGACATACCACTACACCACGGAACTGCTGTACTCTATCGAAAATTATATGCAAAGATGAAGACACATACATGTATATATTCCCGTTCGATATTGTCAAAAGTTTACACAATGCATGGTGTCTAACTTAACCTTCATTAAACAGTTCTAATAGATGTGATAAGAATATAAAGTCCGCCGAGAACCTGTTTTATACGTAATAACTCTCCTTCATGCCCCTGTGCTACAAATAAGCGACATGTAATACAATAAATACTAATAAAACAAACGGGGCGGGACAGTTTTGGTATAAAATTACATTGCAAAAGCTCAAAATCCTCTTGAAATATCGCCCGAAAACGATAGTGTTACACACAAACATAATGTATATATTTATGACCTTGAACTTTGACCTTTTGACCTCAAAATCAATAGAGGTCACGTCAGGCCAAAACTCTCTAGGATGTTATCCTAATAAGTGAAACATTCTCTATGCACTTCCGTTGCGAGTACCTAAGAAATTTTAACTTTCTAACTGGAATGCTGTTTAAGGAGATATTTGTGGGATTCTTACGATATGCAGAGTCAATCCGATAGCATGAACTAATTTCACAGAAATTTCTATTTTTAGTAAACATGGCAACACCGTTCATCAAAATCAAAAACCGATGCACAGAATTATTTATCTTAGTGTAGTCTACTTGTGTGCCAAGTTATATTGAAATCGGACCAAAACTGTAGGAGAAGTAGCATTTTGAAAGAATTTTACAGAAATTTCTATTTATAGTAACCATGGCAACACCATTCATTGAAATCAAAAACCGATGCACAGAATTATGTATCTTAGTGTAGTCTACTTGTGTGCCAAGTTATATTGAAATCGGACCAAAACTGTAGGAGGAGTAGCATTTTGAAAAATTGTTTACAGACAGACAGACAGGCGGACAGACAAACAGACCGACGGACGCATTACTATCGCATAAGCTCTTCTGGTCTCTGACCAGTAGAGCTAAAATAACAAAACGAACAACAAAATCAGCAGTAATTAATTCCTAATAACATGATTTTTTGTATAGCAATAAATAAAAAGATCTCTTTAGATTCATTATAAGTAAAATTTGATGTTATTGCTTGCATGCTTTACAATTTATTATTCTTTTCCCCTTTCTTGTTTGAAGAAGGGAATGGAATCAGCCGAGGTTTACCGAAAGCTCTCGGCCAGTCAAAGTTTACGGCAATCGCAACTTCTTTAAAAATCTTCCCCTCTGCTCTCGGATATTTAACCAATGAACTATGTACCTTGTTATGATGATGAAGGGTGCCTCTTCCAAATTTATGAATATAATGGCCCATACTTCAGGGGTTTTAGTGTTAGAGCAAGTTTCTATTGATTATATAGTGAAAATGGATGAATTCTTTGAAAATCTTTTCCATTGCTCCTGTGTAAAATATGCCAATGATCTTGTACTTATTTATGACGAGGAAAGGTGCCTCTTCCGAAATGATTATTTAATGGGGGGGGGGGGAGGGGGTTACATATTCTGAAAATGAATTAATGCTTCGAAATCTGCTCTTCGGTATTAATCAACCATTTATGATGAGCGAAGGTGCCTTTTCGAAATTTGTGAAATACACGTACTGGCATATGGCCCCAGGGTCAGTGGTTCCTGTGAGGTAGGTGCAAAACTAGTTATAAAGTGGAAATGCATTTTTTTCTTTGTTACTCTGATCTACATCTGGGTATTAAGTAAGTAAAGTAAGCTTTCTAAGTGTATAATTATGATAAACAATGGTGCAATTGTGAATATCATGGCCTCTGCTTGAAAACATGAACCAAATTCAACATGTTCAATGGTTTAAAAGTTGTTGCATGATACTCATGTGACCTAAAAGGCCCTTGGGCCTCTTGTTATTTGCATGATACTCATGTGACCTAAAAGGCCCTTGGGCCTCTTGTTATTTATTCGTAATTTATACGGATTTCTTTGGATCTTTATTGTTTGAAGAAAAAAAAACTTTTGAGCTTGAATACTTTTCGTTATCTCAATATAGTAATTTCACTGTACAGCTTGTAGCTGTACAATAGCGTTATTAAAAAAATAACTTCGAACTATATTACTGTGTACATGTGTACATATTTGCTTCGTATAAAAAGTAGTGTATTTTATTCAAAAAATATACATGTTTATATTGATCAACAATTCCATCTATAAAATCACTTCGACATGATTTCGATAATTCTCTTCCAAAAAAGTTTTTGTCCATTTACACTATTTGTCCATTCTGCATTTTGCGTTGATTTTAAAAGGGTTTTGAAGGAACTGGTAATGTGTTTTGAATTTAGGTTTTCCAGCAAAATAACGACGATTTTGTCACCTTTTCCATCGGCGATTGTGTGCTTTGCTATAGCCGCTTCATACTGACACCAGTGATCAGTCATGAAATTATTTGACAAAACGAGGATTAGTTTTCTACTGTAGTCGATGCTGTCATGTATGTCTTCAATAAAAACTCCTCCTGGAAGTAAATTTCGTTCATAAAGAAACAGACTGTAATTATGCTCCTTTTCCAAGTGTTCGACAAGTTCGGCCATTATCCATCTTCGATCCCTTGAACTATACGCAACGAAACCATCAAAGTCTGCTTCATCTTCACTAAGCTTTTTGTACTTTGACTTTCTGTGTGAACATATATGGATGTAATATTTAATATCCCATCGAAGTTTTCTGATTATTACAACAGAAAATATAAAGATGAAGAGAATTCCACATAAAATGAAGGACAAGATCACATACTGGTTAGGCAAATGGCAGTCCCGTAGTTGAAACTCAGCTAGACTACGCCCTTTCCATTTTTGTGGACTTTGACATATGTAGTCATTAGGATACCTTTTCATCTTCACACTGTTGCTTTCTAACCATGTTTTAAACCATTCAATTTTACAGTCGCAACTAAAAGGATTAGCTGAAAAGTCGATAGAGATTTCCTTCTTTCTCCAGACAAAATCAGGGAGAAATGCCTTTTGGATGGTAATAAGCTGATTGCCAGTAAAGGATACTTTTTCAAGTTTTCTTAAATTTTCAAATTCCTCTGCATATAGTACATTTATTTTGTTAAAATTCAAATTCAATTTCTTTATTCCTGATATATTCCTCATGTTTGGAACTTGGTACAACTCACATCTGATGAAGGAAATAGACCTCAACTTTCTTAGAGGATGAAACATAAGCGAGAAATCGAATTTTTCAAAAGATGAAAAATTTACATTCATAATTTGTAATCGTTTCAATGATGTACAGTAGTTGAAAACAAATCGAAATCTGTAATCTACATTACTAATATCATTGCTTCCTATGAATAGAGTCTCCAAAACATTAGAGGTCAGGGATGTATTTTCCAAATTAACACCTAACTCCAGAATGTAGTCTATGATGAGAACGCTTAGCTTACGGCATGTTACAAAAGAGTTCGACAAAATTATGTTAAATGGATTGTAAGAAATATCGAGGTAAACTAAACTAGGCAAGCATCGACAGTGAAGAAGAAAACTGAACGTCTCGGTAAGACGATTATGCCTTAAATGTAGCTTAGCCAAGTTCGGGAAAAAGGATTTTCCATATAATTCATCACAGAAGTTAATGGGCGTTTGTTCTAACACATTATGGGACAGGTCAATTTCTCGCAAACTTGACATATTTGAGAACCCAGCCGTTACCATTCCATTGTCACTGAGGTCCAATCTTCTTAATTTCCGTAAATCGGAAAAGGAACTGAAATTTATTGTCAATATCTTATTTTTTTGAATAACAAGTTCTTTCAATTCCCTAAGCCATGCAACTTTGAACAAACTTTTCAGAGATCTTGGTTCGCGTAGGTTTCCAGAAATATTTAAGATTTTGACTTCCGATATTCCTAGGCGAATAAAACCCTCTTCCATGCATTTGAATGTTAATTCATTATAAGATAAATCTAAAAAGCGGAGATCTTTGAGATTAATAAAGGCTAATGGCGATATTTTGCGAATGTTACAATGATCTAATGCTAGATATTTAATATTCATGTCCATTATATGGTTAAAGGTGTGGTCCCTGAGTTCTAGAAAATTATTTCCCGACAGAAGAATTCTTTGAATTGTAATCGGCAGACCTCTTGGAATAACAGAAATGTTTTTGTATGAACAATCAGCTACGTTTCTAACAGGACAGAAACATTTAGTGTGGGGACAGAAAGACTTCATTTTCAAACGAGCCCCCATCGCCATCTGCACAACAATGACTGCGAACAAAAACCGCATCATGACAATCTGAAAAATAATAAAAATCAGGAGGGGTGATCAATGTTTATCAATTTCAGTTAAGTGTGCAGTTTTGCATTACGTCACAACCTATGATGACAGCTGCGCCAAAGGTAAATACACGCCTCCTAACCGCAAGCTTTACGACTGGAAATTTCTTTTAATCCCTGATTGTTTGCTCGTGCAACAGACTATTTCCGTGTCAATGTTGATAATTTGAGTTGACCAATCACACAGTGGGGCGTGAATTGTTTACGCTTGATGTATCTGTCGAAAAAGATCGTGACATAATGCAAAACTGCACACTTAACTGAAATTGATAATAATTTTGCGAATTAGTTGAATATATTAACATAAGGTAGATTTATGTCATAAAAGTCTTTCTCAGAGGATTTTCAAACTTTTTCTCTCCTGACACGGGTACCTGATTCGGTAATAATTGTTTATCCATGCCATAAAATAATAACACAAGGTATCAAACTCCAAATTATACATGAAGTACAGTACCCCTCCTTAAAAATCGCACTCATTTACACTTTCAGAAGAAAGGCGAAGACAAACTGTTTATTACCATTGTTTTCTAATTATCTACCCAACCATATATTGCATGCTTGTTATAAACACCCCCTCCAGCTTGAAAAGCGGGAGGGTATATAGTGTCGGTAAGTTCGTCGTCCGTTACGCTTTAAGGTTCCCATTTCTTATCCGCAACTCCTCTTCAACCGCTGATTGAAATAGAATGAAACTTTCACAGAATCTTTGTTACATATTGTCATTGTACACCTCTCATTTTACTTTTTGATCGGACAGATATTTTGGGTTTCAAATAGCAAAAAATGGACACTGCCATTCTTTTATTGAAGGGTACCTATCTCTTATCCGCAACTCCTCCTATGCCACTGAATACAATATTGAAGGGTACCCATCTCTTATCCGCAACTCCCCCTATACCACTGAATAAAATTTACTTTCACAGATTCTTTATAACATAACGCCATTGCGCACCTCTTATTTTACTTTCTGATCTGACACTTTTTTCGGGTCTCCCAGAGCATGGACTTTGACATTACAATCATATGGGAGGCGGAAGGTATCATTTAGTGAGCTCTGTGCTCACAGTACCTTTAGATTTCTTCTATCAAGAGTAGGTCACACTATCACATTAGTAGGCACGGATTGCAATGTTTCACCACGATTTTCAAGACCGTATGAAATTGTGATGCTGACATTTTTCTGGCGCAAAAATAATGCATACGGTTCTTTTAAGATAACACAACGGTTCATGAAGGTCTCAACACGGTTTCATTCAGGAATATGGTTCGCTCTCTACGTAAACCGTCACGGATAAACGGTGTGCTCATGTTGAAATCGTACAATTCATCGGTCACAACAAGGACGACCAAGCCATTCACACGGTCAACCTACGACTTTCACGGAAGACGTAGGGACAGGCGAAGAATAGCGAAAACTCTTGCAAGGAATTTGGAAAACCACTTGATCGTAATGCTTCAGCATCAACACATTGTTAAGTCAGTAGTAAAGATGCCACTCAGGAGAAGAAATAAAAAAAAAAACTAAATGATACCCCCGCCTTCCATATGAATATAATGGCATTTTCCATATTTTGCTATGGGAAACCCAAATTATGTGTCGGATTAAAATGTAAATAGAAGGTGCACAATGGCAATATGTATAATAAAGATTCTGTGACAGTCTCATCAAATTTCATTCAGTGGTATGAGAGGAGTTGCGGATAAGAGATGGAAACCCCAAAGCGTGACAGACGAACGGACGGACATCCCGATTACTATATACCCTCCCGCGTTTCAACTAGGGGGAGGGGATGGGGTTATAACAAAAGAAGACTTCCTCTTGTTGAAAGCATTACAGGGACTGATCATGAGGCTGAGTGTACAATTACCGAGTCAAGAAATATGGTTGAAAACGGTAGAGAACCACCCCTCTCTTCACCTCAGTGACGAAGAGGTCCCTACAAAGAAAAGAAAAGCTTCATTCTGTTGTCGGAACAAAAATAAAGTAGCCCTAACAGATTGGTTAAAAGAAATCCGTCTATATACTCAAAGGGTCTTAAAGACTATCGAGACACCAGCTAAATCAATTATGGCAGTTAAAAACTAGAGTTAAAAATATGTGAAGTCAAAAATCATTGTAACATTTACAAATGTAATAAAACCAAAATTTACATCTTCATAAAAACGTTTACAATTTGTTACAGTACTGTAATTCATATCCGAAAACTCAATACATTTTATTTCTATATCTTATGCACGGCCAGATTGGGGAACTGTTCTTGCAATATTATATGCTTTATAAAACTATAGAGGTTCTGTGAGCAATGAGCTCACTAAATGATACCCCCGCCTCCCATATGAATATAATGGCAGTGTCCATGTTTTGCTATTGGGAACCCAAAATAGGTGTCGGATCAAAATGTAAAATAGGAGGTGCACAATGGCAATATGTAACTAGAGTAGCTGCAGATCTGTAGCGTTGTGGTTTTATTTGTCTTTAACATGGTCAAAGATAAATATATAAAACCATAACGCTACAGAACTGCAGCTACTGTAAGCAATGAGCTCAATATATGATACACCCGTCCGTCCGTCCGCCTGTTACGCTTAGGGGTACCTATCTCAAGATTATCCGCGACTCCCCTTTTAGCACTGAATGAATTTTAATTAGACTTTCACAGAATATTTGTTGTATAGTGCCATTGTGCACCTCCTATTTTACTATTCGATCGGACACATATTTAAGGGTCTAGGAGCAAAACATTGTCATTGCCATTTTTATACCCCCAGCTTGAAAAGTGGAAGGGTATACTGTAATCGGTATGTCCGTACGTCCGTCCGTCTGTCTGTTACGCTTTGGTGTACCCATCTCTTGTCCGCAACTCCTCTTATACCACTGAGTGAAAATTAATGAAACTTTCAAATAAACTTTATTACATATTGCCACCTCCTATTTTACTTTCTGATCCGACACATATTTTGGGGTTCCCGGCCACAGCAAAACATGGACTTTGCCATTATAACCATATGGGAGGCGGGGGTATCATTTAGAGAGCTCATTGTTCACAGTACCTCTACTTTCTGTTATATTGAAAGGTACACATCTCTTATCCGCAAATTTTCCTATACCACCCAATAAAATTTAATACTTTACCACATTCGTTATTATACCCCACGCAACTAGTTGCGGGAGGTATAATGTTTTTGACCCGTCCGTCAGTCAGTCCGTCAGTCAGTCAGTCCTCTTTTTTTTGTCAGCGCAACTCCTCATAAACCGCTGCACAGAATTTCGTCAAACTTTGCAGGTATTTAGGACACATTGTGTAGATGAGCATATTACCAGGAAATTCCGATTCCATTATTTTTTCCGGGAATTTCCGCACTTTTTAACTTAGGCATTTGGCCATACCTTGAATATAGAGATGAACAGTTTGTCAGCGCAACTCCTCATAAACTGCTGCACAGAATTTCGTCGAACTTTGCAGATATTTAAAACACAATGTGTAGATGTGCATATTACCAGGAAATTTCGATTCCATTATTTTTTCCGGGAATTTCCGCACTTTTTAACTTAGGCATTTGGCCATACCTTGAATATAAAGATGAACAGTTTGTCAGCGCAACTCCTCATAAACTGCTGCACAGAATTTCGTCAAACTTTGCAGGTATTTAGGACACAATATGTAGATGTGCATATTTCCAAGAAATTTTTTCCGGGACTTTCCACACTTTTTAACTTAGGCATTTGGCCATACCTTTTATATAGAGATGAACAGTTTGTCAGCGCAACTCTTCATAAACCGCTACACAGAATTTCGTCAAACTTTGCAGTTATTTAGGACACAATATGTGGATGTGCATATTACCAGGAAATTCCGATTCCTTTATTTTTCCGGGAATTTCCACACTTTCCAACTTAGACTTTTTGGCCATATTTTGAATATAGAGATTGTCAGCACTACTCCTCTTAAACTTTTGTACATAGTTTCATCAACCTATGCAGATATTTAGGACATATTCCATTATTTTATCCCAAAGAGTTTTGCCTATTATTCAAGAAAATTTCTCCCCCCCCCCCCCCCCCAACCACTTCAAATTAATGTTTGGATTTGTATAATGCCAAGAAATTTTGATTCCATTATTTATCTAGAAACTTCATTCCACATTTAAATGTCCTCATATGCAAGACATTTTGATGTGAAGATTTTTTTGCAATTATTGCCATTTTTGATCTATACTATGTATTTGAAGTGCACTAGCTGTGCCTTTCATTCACAGTCAAGTTTTTGGGGAGTGTGGGGTATGTGAGCTAGCTCACTTTTTCTTTCATTAACTTAGGCATTTGGCCATACCTTGAATATAGAGATGAACAGTTTGTCAGCGCAACTCCTCATAAACCGCTGCACAGAATTTCGTCAAACTTTGCAGGTATTTAGGACACAATGTGTAGATGTGCATATTACCAGGAAATTCCGATTCCATTATTTTTTCTGGGACTTTCCGCACTTTTTAACTTAGGCATTTGGCAATACCTTGAATATAGAGATGAACAGTTTGTCAGCGCAACTCCTCATAAACCGCTGCACAGAATTTCGTCAAACTTTGCAGATATTTAGGACACAATATGTAGATGTGCATATTGCCAGGAAATTCCGTTTCCTTAATTTTTTCCGGGACTTTCCGCACTAAAAACTTAGGTTTTTGGCCATACCTTTTACATAGAGATGAACAGTTTGTCAGCGCAAATCCTCATAAACCACTGCACAGAATTTCGTCAAACTTTGCAGATATTTAGGACACAATATGTAGATGTGCATATTCCCAAGAAATGCCAATTCCATTATTTTTTCCGGGAATTTTCGCACTTTTTAACTTAGGCATTTGACCATACCTTGAATATAGAGATGAACAGTTTGTCAGCGCAACTCCTCATAAACCGCTGCATAGAATTTTGTCAAACTCTGCAGATATTTAGGACACAATATGTAGATTTGCATATTGCTAGGAAATTCCGTTTCCTTTATTTTTTCCGGGACTTTCTGCACTAAAAACTTAGGTTTTTGGCCATACCTTTTACATAGAGATGAACAGTTTGTCAGCGCAAATCCTCATAAACCGCTGCACAGAATTTCGTCAAACTTTGCAGATATTTAGGACACAATATGTAGATGTGCATATTGCCAGGAAATTCCGATTCCATTATTTTTCCGAGACTTTCCGCACTAAAAACTTAGGTTTTTGGCCATACCTTTTACATAAAGATGAACAGTTTGTCAGCGCAAATCCTCATAAACCGCTGCACAGAATTTCGTCAAACTTTGCAGATATTTAGGACACAATATGTAGATGTGCATATTGCCAGGAAATTCCGTTTCCTTAATTTTTTCCGGGACTTTCCGCACTAAAAACTTAGGTTTTTGGCCATACCTTTTACATAGAGATGAACAGTTTGTCAGCGCAAATCCTCATAAACCACTGCACAGAATTTCGTCAAACTTTGCAGATATTTAGGACACAATATGTAGATGTGCATATTGCCAGGAAATTCCGATTCCATTATTTTTTTCGGGAATTTTCGCACTTTTTAACTTAGGCATTTGACCATACCTTGAATATAGAGATGAACAGTTTGTCAGCGCAACTCCTCATAAACCGCTGCATAGAATTTTGTCAAACTCTGCAGATATTTAGGACACAATATGTAGATTTGCATATTGCTAGGAAATTCCGTTTCCTTTATTTTTTCCGGGACTTTCTGCACTAAAAACTTAGGTTTTTGGCCATACCTTTTACATAGAGATGAACAGTTTGTCAGCGCAAATCCTCATAAACCGCTGCACAGAATTTCGTCAAACTTTGCAGATATTTAGGACACAATATGTAGATGTGCATATTGCCAGGAAATTCCGATTCCATTATTTTTCCGAGACTTTCCGCACTAAAAACTTAGGTTTTTGGCCATACCTTTTACATAAAGATGAACAGTTTGTCAGCGCAAATCCTCATAAACCGCTGCACAGAATTTCGTCAAACTTTGCAGATATTTAGGACACAATATGTTGATGTGCCTATTACCAGGAAATTCCGATTCCTTTATTTTTTTCCGGGACTTTCCGCTCTAAAAACTTAGGTTTTTGGCTGTACCTTTTACATAGAGATGAACAGTTTGTCAGCGCAACTCCTCATAAACCGCTGCACAGAATTTCGTTAAACTTTGCAGATATTTAGGACACAATATGTAGATGTGCATATTACCAGGAAATTCCGATTCCTTTATTTTTCCTGGAATTTCCACACTTTCCAACTTAGACTTTTTGGCTATATTTTGAATAAAGAGATGGACAGTTTGTCAGCACCACTCCTCTTAAACTGTTGTACATAGTTTCGTCAACCTATGCAGATATTTAGGACATATTCCATTACTTTATCCCAAAGAGTTTTGCCTATTATTCAAGAAATTTTCTCTCCCCCCCCCCCTCCCAACCACTTCAAATTAATGTGTGGATTTGTATATTGCCAAGAAATTTTGATTCCATTTTTTCTCTTGAAACTTCATTCCACATTTAAATGTCCTCATATGCAAGACATTTTGATGTGAAGATTTTTTGCAATTATTGCCCTTTTTGATCTATACTATGTTTTTAAATTGCACTGTGCCTTTCATTATATGTTTCACCGTCAAGTTATGGGGGAGCGTGGGGTATGTGAGCTAGCTCACTTTTTCTTTCATTACAAAATGTCATTGTACACATATTTTACTTTTTGATCTGACACTTATTTCGGGTCTTTAAGAGCAAAACAGGGACTCTGTCATTATAAGAGGCGGGGGTATCATTTTGTGAGCTAACTGCTCTCAGTACATGTAGTTCTTATTTAAAATGAATTAGTTCATCGAGGCAATGACAAAATAACGAATCAATTCCCATGTGCACATTCTAACACTTCAAATAGTCCATGCGGCTATAAATATAAATACTGATTGATAATACATTTCTCATCCGTGAACCCCACCCCCTCCATTCTCTTTATACCGTATAAGTGGACATTTTAGCGAGACGCAAATTTAGCGATTTGACCATAAAAATACGTATTTTAATTTAATCGAGAAGCAATTTAGCGATTTTAAAATGTTCACTTATGTAGTAGCTAAAATAACTACAACACAATTAATTTTTAACGATCTCAGGACCCTCGCTATTAATGCCGAAATTAAATCCTCGCTAAAAATTCTGCTTATACGGCATTTTATTTGTTGATTAAACATGTATTTTTCATTAAAATTACTCAGTTTGGTTAAGGAAAGTAACTTGAAGTCTTGTTTCCTGTATAACTCGTTAGAAGTGAAATCATATTGAATAAATATTGCACATTTTGTATAAACTTCCGCTTTTGTTTCCCCTAAATTATATACAAGATTACATCTGTACAAGGGAAAAAATCAAAATTTTACTGATCCTTAGTACTAAAATACAGAATTTCTTTTAATATTATTTCTGCCAAACAGTCTAAATCTATTGTCTATCGTTTCTCCACGATCCTCTATAAAGATGATCAGGGATGATCAAAAAGTTCGAGAACTTTGTCTGTATCAGAATAACCTCTGTTTAAATCAAGATGAAATTTGGCACACATTTAGTCATATACAAGATTATAGCTCTCGAAAGCTTTCAATCTAGGAACGGATATTAGTAAGAATAAGAAAAAAATTCTTTTCTTTCCTAAGTATAAATCTTTTGGTGCTTGCTTCACTTTGCATCTTTATATGACTATACTTCAATATATGAAAAAAACTGGAAAATTTTTAATTTACAATACATTCAAAATAACTACCCAGTAATATTCGCAAAAGAAAAAAAAGATGTATGAGTGAAATACTGATGTCCCGTATTGCACCTTAAGGCGAAAATGCAAGGACATGGTCAAGAGATAAATATCGTTATACAAAAGCGTCAATCGATACACTGAAAGCCAAAGCATTAACCATTCAAAAGTTATCGTCAAAGTTAATGTTTTCTAAGATCTTGTCATACGAATTGCACATGCAAAATACCCAAGCGACAAGAGTTATAGTGTGTTTTTCACAAGTAAGTCAAACTCCAAGGTCAAGTTCAAATTGTCAAAATTTTGGTATCTTTAGGAAGGTTTTGTCACAAAAATATACCAGTGAAATTGCAATGCCCTTCTGCTAACTGTTCAAAAGGTCGCCCGCGTGGCGCAGTTGTTAGATAGTCTGTTTTAGGATCGCGATTTAAGGAATCGATCCTTGCCTCACCGAGGTCCCGTGTCGCAGTAGGCACTGGTATGAAAAAGATCCCTCGCTGTCCCATGGTCATAAGTGTGGAGTATAGGGAAAAAATTGCAGCTCTCTACCGGCAAGTGGTGGCGTTTCCATACAAGTAAAAAATTCTCGAGAGGGACATTAAACCATATTCAAAAACAAAAAAAACTGTTCAAAGGTAATGGAAAAAGTCGGAGGATTTTAAAAGTTGGTCAAACTACATGTATAGGTTCAAGGTCAAAAATAATTTCAAAAGCCCTGGCTTGGAAAAGTCTCTTATCACGATAAATACATGCACATGTGAGATATGACAGCCCTAGCATCAACTGTTTGAAAGTTATGGCCAGGGTTAAAGTTTGATACATTTAAGGAAGGTTTTATCACAAGGATTACAATGGGAAATATGAGAGTCATAGCTCCATCCAATCTTTCTTACGATTCGCTGACAAACAGTGCTATGACAAAAGTGGATCAAGCTCCAAGTTGAAGATCAAGAGGTCAATTATATCGGTACCCAAAGAAAGACCTTATCACAAGGAATACACATGTGAAATATGAATGTCGTATATCTATCAAAAGTTATGGGCAAGCTTCTAGTTTTTGCAGACAGACAACGGACGAAAAGGGCAAAAACTATACCTCCGAATCTTCGATGAAGGGGTACCTGTGTGGCAATGGCGCGATCGTACCAAAAACAGAACTTGACCTTGATTTTCATTTGATAAATCTGTATATTAAATTTCATTTCAGTATGTGCAACGGTTGTGAAGAAAACGAACGTAAACTTAGTGGACCAACCTATGGACAGAAGCAAAGCAATATGCCCTCCTTTTTTCGAAGGGCATAAAAATAATTAAAATGAAAAAAAAACCCTACTGAGAAAAACCCTGTTTGAAGTCTTTTACATTCCGTTATTCAACTAGATATTTTTATCACTCCTAAAAAGAGATAAAATCTCATTGTACATATGATTGGACGACCAAGGAATTTGAACTCGAAGGCAAGACGCATAAATCCTAATTTTAATCTGCGCTAAGAATTTATTTAGCCAAATGAGGAATTTCTAAGTAAAGTAGCAGAGCTGAAGTTTTTAAACTCTCTCTCTGATCGAAGATTTTATTAAACTATTTTATTGATTTATTTTTTTTTAAGAATTCCAGGTTTTACATGTAGTTAAACTAAATTTATCAATGTGCATTGATAATGGGGTTTAATTGTATTTTGAATTGAAACGAATTCAAACAATTTTTTTAAGTTAAAGCGTGTACGTACCCATTTGCTTGTCATTGCTCCAGTTTGGAATTGTCGTTGAATTAAATGGGAGCAAAGTTTGTGTAATTTTTTTCAGCAGAGGAAAGATCGAGCGTACTTCTCAGACTGAGAGAATGATTCATATACATGTACGTAAAACTCGCACACAAACCTGAAGCATGCTTACAACCTTCCTTGTTAAATTGCATTTAATTTTGGTTTCAGTTTTATTAATCTGGATGCATGGATTTCATATATGGTATGCATGTACATGTAATTATAATCTATGATGATAATTAAAACCTAAGTTGCTGTTTTTTTAAAAAAGACTGCAATAAGAAAACAAAAGGCCCATGTATCGACAGATTTTTTTTTTATCTGGGTTTATATGAAAACATGTGTAATATTTTTTTCTTTTACTCATCATATTTTTATCACAAAATATGAATTCACTCAAAGTATACTTAGGTTTATTTTAAGTGATTTTTAAAGTTGAACATGACTCCTATAAGTGTACACTAATTCATTTTCCAATCTCTTATCTCTTATAAATATAAACCCTTCACATGCGTTGCACTTGATTCAGATATAAATTAAACTTTTTTTTATTATATAAATATTTCTTCATAAAGTACCCATTTTTTTACGGATAATTTTTTTTTCTAAAATTTAACCACAGATTTAAAATATGTAATAGAATTATATATTTTTCAAAATATTCATTAATTTCCCTTTATTAAAATTTCAAACGTAAATCTGATTCCTTTTTACCTGTTTAAAAATCTACAATGATAATTACTATTTATTACTTCATAATAAGGAATCATTTTAATTCGTGGGGGTCAATGTTCGTGGGTTAGCAACATTTTACCTGTTCGTGGGAACGTAATTTCGTGGTTTTTTGTAAATACGATGGTTCAATGAATCAATATGTTAACAAAATTAAATAAACATTCGAGGGGATGTTAATTCGTGGGCAAGGTTGACCCACGAAATCCATGAACATTAGTCCCGAGCGAACAATGATGATTATACAGTATTATGTGGTAATAAATAGCAAATATCTCCATGTACTTTACATGCAAATAAATTAAACAATTTTTATTTTAAAATTTATATTTTTTTGGAGAAAACAAAATGGCATTCATTGAAACTGCATATCAAAAGAGATATCTTAAAATTGAATACAAAAAAAACTGTCGTAAAGCATTCCTAATCTAGTTTAAAATTATTAAAACTTATCAAAACAGTTAGCATTGAATGGAGCCTTGAACTTATTTCAGCATAAAAGGAGTCATCTATGTATCATATATATGGGAATGTTTCAATGTCTGAGAATTCGAAGGTGGGGCAATGTCTCTACTTGGCAGATTTGAACTATCATAGGAACGAGCTGCATTATGCATGACTTATATAATTAACAAGCATTTCTGTACCCGCTGCCTATCTTTATCCATTGGCTTAATCTTACTTATATTCTTTCTACGTGAATTTCAGTGTCCACGCAAATTAAAAAAAAAATTTCAAGTACGGTTGATATTTTAATACATTTTTTTCTGGGCGAAACTCATGCTTTTAAGCATAAAGTTACGCGGCTTTCTTTAAGTGAGCAGGAATCGGCAATAGTTTGGCTATTGTAAAGTTTCGGTCCCCTCCCAACCGTTTAATTCTAAAAATGAATTCAAACATTCCGCTAATATATTTTACATGTACGGTGTGACCGTTGGGGCGAGCGCAGTTCTATACAAAGTTTACAATTATATCGTTGATGCAGAGACATAACATTAGATCTCTGGTTGATATTCCTCTTCAAACGTCAAACTGCAATCGCCCGCGTGGCGCAGTGGTCAGAGCGTCTGCTCTAGAGTCGAGAAGTAAGAGTTAATCCTTACTTCAAAGGTTCGAATCCCACTATGGGACGTTTGAGACCGGTCCTTGGGACGAGACCGTATGAACCGAGGTCCCGTGTCGCAGTAGGTGCTGGCACGAAAAAGATCCCTCCCTGCTTAATGGCCCTGAGTGCCGAATAAAGGACAAAATTTGCGTATCCATATGAGTGAAAAATCTCGAGAGGGACGCTCAACAATACACAATCAATCAAACTGCATGAGACAAAGACTAAACTGTGAAGTCCGAATTTACGGAAGCAGCCGAGTGTTTGGTTGAACGAGACTACAAGTCTTGTGCAATATTCAACGAATTACGTTGTAGAGTATTGAAAATATTTTGTGTCACTTTTAAGCTTTGTGCAAATAGGAAAAGTAACGATCAACGCAAATTTTAAAACAATTTCGCATGGAAACCTAATAGCAAATGAATTCTGGGAATGTTGCACATATAAATCTGCATGACGTATATGTACAGATTTCATTCTGGATTTCCCCTGTTCTTACACGTTAGTCTATTTAGCTCGATGCGCTCTCTATAATAACCGCTTTTGAAAGCATCTTATATATATCTGAATTCCATACCCTTCTTGTCTTTTGCTGTACGTTTACATGCAAATGAAACAGTCATAGACATGGTATATATTACCGGTATACCCTTATCAGGTTCATAGTTGATATCACAAATGCATACACCAGCTTCCGTGATAATGTGTACTACACTTGGAACTCAATTAAGCAAACACTTGAAGAATATCCTGTGAAACACTAAAACTTTGAAAAAGTTAAGGACCGGAGAACGTGTGATATGTGGTATTCTGAAGAGTCTCTTAACAACAAACGGCTAGACAATCGTACAATACCAACTGGTACACGTCACATAAGAATTAATTGCATGCGTATAAAATATATATTGCTAGATATGACCTGCAGATCTCATCCGTGCTATTCAATAGGTAATTATTTTAATGAAAGGTGCGAGTCAGAGTTGTTCTGCCGCCAGGAGAACCAAGATAATAACTATATGAGCTATATGTGTATCATTCTCTACCATCGGCTCTTATCATCGTCTAATCACAGTCAAAATCCTGTGACTTAGGACGCAAACGAAAGTGTTTGTGACATGGAAACTGCATTAAATCGTTGTTTGTATTTTTTTTAAGTAAGTTGTTACTATTTTTAAACCACCCTGTTGCTATGCATCGCAAAGGATTATTTGGAGTTTGAAATTTTTCAAGTGGACTGAAAAAAATTTCTTGGAACAATGTGCAGATTTCAACCCGAATTTCCTCCGTTAGTACACGTTGTCTAAGGAGCTCGCAACGCTAGCAGCGCTTCGCCTCGCTATAATTCAATTTCTATGCTTATGTTTGAGTTTTAAGATAGATATTTATTAAATCAATCCAGAACTATATTAATTTCATATCTGAAATAATCCTGCAAATATCACGTTTTATACGTTATGTCAAAAATCTTGACGTAAGCCCATAGCAGAGGTGTCTGTGAGAGGAACGAAAAGTTAGGGTCAAGGTTAAATATTTCTATAAATGTGAGTCAAATTCTAAGGTCAAGGTGAAAAGGTCAAAATTTTCGGTATCCAGAAAAAGGATGTCACAAGAAATACACCTGTGGAATATGAAAACCCCAGTACTAACGGTCCAAAATTATGGTCAAAGTTAAGTTTGTTAAAAGTGGGCCAAGCTCTAAAGTCAAATATTTTGTTGTTCGGATTGTGTGGGGTATCCATACTCTCTGTAGCTAGATCAAGAGGTTCTTCATAAAATTGAAGCATTCGCCAGAAGTTGTTGCGGAATTGGGACGGATGTGGCGTCTGTTTCGGCGATAGTGTTTCCAGGACTGTGTTTCAAGACAGTAGTATCTTGGAGAACTGTGTTGTTGCACAACAACTGTCCTTTTGTTTTCATGGCGCATGATAGTAGTTTCCCCAGGATAAAGATAACGCAACTTCTTTCCAGCATGTGCATCAAAGTTCAGCTTTCGTTGGTATTTGCGGGTTTTAAAGCGTTCTTGAATATCCTGCATGCCAACTGTTGTAGATTCAAAAAGTTTTGATGCTATAGGTCCGTCTTGAGACGTCTGCCAAAGAATATTTGTGCAGGGGACATTCCTAGAATGTCATTTGCAGTGTTTCTGTAAGTAAGTATGGCTTTTTATGGATCAGAACACTTGCTTAGAGGTTGTTCAACTGTTAGTACAGTGCGCTCAATCTGTCCATTTGCTTGCGGAAAGTGTGGGCTTTTAGTTGTCAAGTGAATGAAGCTATAATTCCTTGAAAATTGTCTGAAGGATTCGCTGGAAAATTGAGGACTGTTGTCCGATATGAATTTGTACGATATCCAAAAACGTGAAAATATGCTTCTCAAATGTAAGATGGTGTTACCTTAAGAAGTGATCAACGCAAAGCAAGTACGAGTGTCCTTAAAAATCAAACAATTCAACTGATACAATGGACCATGGAGAAGAGGAGTTTTAGATTCCACAAGAGGTTCCTTAGGATTCTATTTGCTTTTTTTACTGCACAGATGGGGAAGTTTTCCACCACTTCTTGAATAGAAGAAATCATCCATGGCCAGAATGAGGTTTCACGAGCTCGGCTCTTGCATTTGACAATTCTAAGATGAGAGCTGTGGACGCGGTCTAGCATTTCTTTTCGCATTGTGGTCGGTACTGTGATTATATGACCTTTGAACATTAAACCATCGTTGCAGGTAATCTCGTCCCGGAAAGGCCAAGGACCATTTCATCATTTTTCTCATAGTTGCAATAACGAACAAGTAATTTTAATACATTGTATTGTAACGAACTGATCAAATGTTTCTGTGTCAATCTGAACTCTGGTTTGAAATCTGTACGTGTTATAGATCACATTAGTTTGCGGCTTTCCATACTCCTGAACTTAAACTTCTTGTAGACAAGTGTAAACTAAGCCTTTTTCGATCATCTGTGACAGGTTCCATGTAGCAAAGACAATACGACCTTTATCTTCTACCCAACTCATCACGTTTGCACATTTTTATGGTTCGGATTTCGATTCAAGAGGCTGGTAAACACAAATTTCACATGCCGTCTGAAAGACTTCTAAGCACCATCCAAAGTCATTACTGTCCCTATTCATGGATGGACTTGATCCGACAAGACTCTCCATCGTCATTATTGGAGATTAAAGTGATTTCCTAATAGTATTAAACAACTAAATCACTTTGAATAAAAATAATATATTAATT